CAAGAGGGTAAGTAGAGTTTAAGCTGCCTGTTGCTTGAAATACAAGGATTCAGTAATAAGAAAACTCAAAATAAAATAAACTCAATAAAAATAAAAAAAATTAAGTTAGCCTTAAGTTTGATTTAAAACTAAAAAGCCATAGAAGTCTCTATTATAATTTCTCTTTGGATTCTGTTGGTCCATAGCAGTAAGGTTTTGGTTTACACGTGCAACAGCCGCCTTGTTCGGCTGCTGGGTGGCCACCCGGTTTGAGGAAACCGAACCAGGGATGAAGGGCTCACACCCCAGGATCCAGGAGCCCTGTGGGCTTCACGTTAGCAAACAAACCAGCAGACAAAATCAAGATCCATCTCCTCGGATTCTGACACRAAAGGAGCCAAAGTTCAAGTTTTAGGGTAGTTCCTTGTAGTAGCAGTTCCAGCTTGTAGGCGGAATATGTTTTCTCTTAGTATGGAACTTGACTGAGGCAGCTTCCCTTTACAGACACTAACACATAAACAAAATGCAAGAAGCCGTTTGTTGTCTTTATAAAAGAAAAAAAAATCCTCTTTCATCACTACAGTAATAATAAAAATCCCTTAAAATTAAAGTTGGTTTATATTGCCTCAGGAAAAATGACGCGGTAGCAAGGTAGCAGATTCCTGCCCCTTCCCCTTCCATGCTTCCAGTTCCTCAGAAAATGCTGCTGAACAATCCCAGTCACAAGAAGTGGACTAATCGAGGACACATGGAAATATAACTTTGGATTTTATCTGCAGCAATAATGTTTTATTTGATTGCAAAAAAAAAAGAAAGAAAAAGTGACATTCTGGTCTCAGTTTTAGTTGTGCAAATGAGGAGGCAACCTTTGAGTTGCTGAGATTTCATAACTGTAACACCGTAGCCAGTTACAGAACATAGTTACAGCACAAAAGGTTCTGGGTGTAGCTCAAACAATTGAAAAAGAGGAAAGACATTTAAAAATACATAAATAAAAGAGAGAACTCTTAACTACTTAACAGAAGGCCTGCTTCTGTTTTCTCACAACAGAGTTTTTGTGCTGCAAGTTCTTGTGGTACAAGTCTTTCATGTACAGCCCTGCTACCCCATCAGGGCACAGGACTCAAGGTGGAGAACAGGCATGGGCCTAGTGTATCCCTTGCTCTTTTACATCATGTAAGGTGAAGACTTGCAAATGCAGGTGCATTTTTAACTGCATTGACTCTACCTCTGTTCCCTCTGACTCTGCTCTTCGTTTCATTGGGCCCCAAATATCCAAATGAGTCCAGTAAGAACAGACTGTGCCAAGTATATCTGAGTTATTTCTTTTTCATTGCATAAAAATCAAATTGCATAAAAATCAAATCAAAATAAGCACAGTGTGGAGTGAAGGCTGGGAGCTAGTGCCTTTTCRTAACAGCAGGAAGGCCTCTGATCCTTTTGACAGCTTAAGTAGGGGTATCTCAAGTATCTTTGGGCAGGCAACGGGGGACTTTTAAGATCCCYGCATCCCTTCATGGAAATGAGTGTGTTTGCATGCATTTCTGAAGTGCTTGTAGACAAATATGTGCTACATAAGAATTAACAGAAGCAATTAAGAGATCAGTTGCAGGGCTACAGTCTTACACTGTGCTTGTGGAAATGTGATGGGATAGCCTGGAGGATTTGAATGCTGTAATGAATGGCTACACGTTCTCCAGGAAAGGCAAGCCAGGAATGACCATGGAAGGAATTACCCTTCAGGTGAAAGAGCAGCAAGAACGTCTGGTGCTTTTCCTGAGGGGTGGAAGATGGACTGTCTGAGCGTTTATGGGTACGGATTAAGGGTCAGCCTAACATGGGTGACACTACTGAGAATATTTGCTACAGACTACTTGATGAGGAAGAACTAGATGAAGCCTTGTACAGATAGAAGAAAGTATCCTCACATTCGCAGGTCTTCGTACTCCTTGTAGTTTTACTACTGTAATAGCTGCTGGAGGGATAACACAGGAGTGCAAGAGCGACCTAAGATCTTCCCAGAGAGCAACTAGTTGCCAGTGGATGGCAGAGGACTGGATGARGAGAGGTGCTCTGTTGGACCTCCTACTGCAGGAGAGCATAGGGCAAAGAGTAGGATCACAATCCCGGACTTCRGAAGAATAGACTTTGGCCTCATCACGGAATGGTTGGGATTGGAGTGGACCTCTGGAGATCCTCTAGTCCAACTTGCTGCACAAGCCTGTTGCACTGAATCATGTCCAGGTGGGTTTTGAACATCTCTAGAGGAGACTCCACACACTCTGAGCAACATTTTCCTGTGCTCTTCTACCCTCACAGTCAGTAAGTTTTTCTCATATTCACATAAACTTTCTGTGCTTCAGTTTGTGCCCATTGGCCTTTGTCCTATCATTGGCCACCACCAAAATGAGTCTGATCCCACCTTCTTTATACTCTCTATTTATACACATTTGCATGATACTGCTTGAATCTTCTCTTCTCCAGGCTCTGTCAGTCCCAGCTCTCGTAGCCTTTTCTCAGATGAGAGATGCTGCAATCCCTGTTGYGGTTTGAAGAGGGCTGGGGCTTAGGGGTGAACTTGGTAAGAGATGAATCCTCTTGCATTCTAGCTCATCCTCAGGGGTTAGAGGGACTGTTGACTATAGGTCTGACTGCACTCAGAACAATTGAGTTCACAAATAGAATGATYTATTCAAATGCAACATTTACAAAGCAGGGTTTGAATGTCAGTTTGGGAAAATTTCTACTACAGCGTGGGGTTCTTAGCAAGCTCTAGAGAACATATGCCCAATCATGACTCACCCAAGGAGATGGGAGAGGACCCTCAACCTTGAGGAGTCTCCTTAGCAGCATCCCAACCCAAGAGGGAGAAAGACAGATTTGGCCTGTTGACCAATCCTGGAAGTTACAAYGGAGTCTTCCCCCACCTTTCCCCTCCCTACTTTATCTCTCATGTTCTTTTTACATTCAGATGGAGCCTCAGTGACTGTGGTCATACTTACTTTTGCTATTGATTGGTGTCAAACTCTCTCACTTTTCATTAAAGGCATAGTCAATTGAAAATCTAGAGCGCATGCTCAGGGAGGGGTGGTCGTACCTCAGAGGTGGATAACTTTGGGGACTGAGGTGTCTGTTGGCATTATAATGAGCTTATAATGAGCAAAGTTCATTCAAAGCGAGTGATTYGTATTCTTTGCCATTTCAGCACTTCTTACCATATGTTTCCCACTGGACAGCTACTGCGCAGCTTACTAGTTGCATGTTGCCCTCAGGTACAAGAGAGAGGGTGTGCGCAGGGTCTTCMCTCAGCTCCACCCTCCATTCCTCCTCTTTGCAGCTGTGAGGAGAGCAGATTGTGTGGTCGATGGAGCTGTGGGGGAGCGAGTCCAGGCCTACCAACCATCCTGGAAGTGGCAGCTGTGTCTCACTCCAAGCAATCTTCTGTAATGCCATAACTTTCGTTAGACCGTAGTTTTTCTCTAAATTCCCTTTTTTTCCAAGTAATTCTTCCAGAGTCTCTTAATCTGGATGGCTAATTTTAGTACATGTTCATGGGATTTGCTCYAGTAGCTATTTGCAGTGTTCTCTGTGGGATAATTCCAAACCATTGTAAGGAAAAGGCTCTACAAAGACGGATGAGACCGCACTGCTCGCTGTCTTCTCCCTGCACCCACAAGGAGTGCAGACTAGCATTCTTCTGTTTTGTCTTGTTTCCTCTCTCCAAAGGGCYAATACCGCAGTGTGTTGGGCAGAACTTCTTTAAGGTGTAAGAGCCTGCTCATGTCAGACACCACACTAGTTACAACCTTAGGCCAGAAGGGACGGGCTTAGGAGCAGAAGGGGACGGGCGGGCTGTCCCCTCCACCCAGCTGAGAATCGAACAACTATCTCAACTTGCAGCTTAGCAATGCTGGCAAGGGACATACGCAGGCATAGCTTGGATGAAGGACAGCATTTTCACCCTCCTTCAGGGTTGCTATCTGCCCTTTGTGCTCAGGACCTGAACCTTGCCCAGCATGACTGCAGATGGAGCAAAATGCTGAGCCTTACCAGGAGAGCAGGAAGATGTGCTGCTTCAAGAAGCAATGGTCCCTATGTAGAGCCCTCACTCAGACCACGCTCTCCGAGAAGATGGAGATGTTTCTTTTGTACCTCTGCAACCAAGGGAACCCCAATCCCTCATTTTATCGACAACAGTGACTTACTTTCACAGGAAGAGAATCAACCACGATCAAACCACACAGAGTGATTAAAGGTTGGAAGGGATCTTTGGAGATGATCTACTGCAACCCCTCCAAATGCAAAATCCATACTGAATACTACGCTTCAACTGTTCTTCAGTAAATCTCAAAGCTCATTCTAACCAGGTAAGAGGATATGAGACCAAATCCACTTAACTTCTCCCTCCTGTCCCACAAATATTCACAGCTCAGGGGCTCTCAACCTGCCAAGAAATACTCACAAAAAATGTGGAGCTGTAATTTTCATCTCTTGCAAAATCTGGAAAAAGTAATGCACCAGTGTTACGCTGTTAACAGTAGTAACTGGATATTCCTTAAGTATTCTAAGCAAGGGGTAAGTGGGTGTCAGTCAGACAGACACTTACTGTGTCTTGGACGAGGCTTTTCAATGTGCCATGATTTACTCAAGGCAGAACGGAATAGACATCTCTAATTTTCTGGACTGTAAAAAAAGTCTATCRTGTAATTTCTATTTTCACTGTGGAGCTGCCAATGTTGCAGTTAAATCACACTAAAATATTTTTTTTTTCTGAAAGGCTACAACAAATGTTAGATCTTCAAGACAATCTTAATAAATACAAACAAAATGGAAAGCCCCACAACTACAGGAAGAAAAGGAAGAAGATTATATTTTTTAAAAATAAACTTTTAATAGGCTTTTCATAGGCATGATTGCTATAAGGTCTTCCAGCCATGAGCAATGCTGCACACTGCAACACACCACATTTTTCACTGTATACGAAAAAGCCTATGAAGAGAATTCCTTCACTGGAAAAACACCKTACAATCACTTAAATAAACAAAGACAATATTACAGTGCAAACAAAATCTTGGGTTTATTTATGCTGTAGTTACTGAGAGGCTCTCAGTCTTTCTAAAACCCTTAAAAAAACCCATCCACCGACAACCAATATTTTCTGACATGATTTTTGTTTGTTGACCCAAAAATTGATCCCCAGAGGTGCAACAAACTGTTTCCATATATGTATGATGTGTATTGACCTGGTCGGAAGGGGGCAGGGACAGGCAGCAGAACATTCATCTTCAATGGCATATTATGGATTATCTTGAAGTTCTTTTCATATTAGACAATACAGTGTAGTACTACTTTGCAGGCATTAAAAAAATGATCATTCCATTCTATTTTTCAGATCTGTACTTATTTCAAAGCATACATAGAAGGAAAAAGTGGGAAAGAAAGCTGAATTAAATAACAGTTTCACAGTCCTAATGTAATCTGTAAAATACGCAAACTGCATGCTATTTGCTACTCCAATACCTGATGACCATTCCAGACGTACAGGTGCAAGGTGGCATCCAGTCAGGACTGATTCCTCAGTTCCAGCATTTCTGCACAATTACTGTTTTTCACTTACTGCCTTCATAGCTGGTACATACCAGCTATCTCACAAGCAGGTGGGAATTAGGCTGGCAGGATTGAGGTAGGGTAGTTTCTCCAGTGCTTCAGCCCAGTATGAAGCTCTTGCAAGAAATGAAATTTAGCCAAGAAGGATGTGTCAAGGGATCATGTGCTAAGAATATCATTTACACTGGAAAAAAAACCCTGCTCTGATACATACTGCACCACCTCATTTATAAGGCTGAAAAATCCAGCTTGTGGAGGCAACATGACACACACTATATCTGCTGCCTCAGTAAGGCAATAGTTTGCCCCAGGTGAAATGAGCAAGTCAAGATTTTGCCTGCAAAAACCTTGCAAAAATTTTCAACCACCCTCCTGCATAAATACAAACCTATGGGTTAAAATGACTTATTCTTAACTATCCACCTGCATTTATGAATGAAACTTGCAAATGAAGACAGCAACCCTTAAAAATTTATTAATGTACCAGAAAGGATAAAAATATATATTAATCCACTATTTTAATTATATCCCCTATTCATAAATAATGGACCATGATTTGCCATCACAAAATTATTTGTTAGGCTTGTGTGTCTAACAGGATTTTGCATTGTTCAAYTACTCCAAAACACTGCATAAAAAAAGACACACCAACCTAACTGACCAGTCACGACCATGGTGACTTGCCTTCTAGGTAGCTCCTTCACAGTTCCCCAGTATTTTGTTGGAAAAGTGTGTCCCTCAGTGCTTGGCTATATTTTTCACATACATAAGTTTCTTATCCTAGCAAGAGAATGAACGTTGCTGGTGCTTTAATATGGAGAAGTTGTTGATTCTCTTCCAAACCATGGAAGAACTTGGTTTTAGAAAACACCTTCATTTTCAGAGAAGCTCTGGGAAGGTTATCTATTCTCCTTGCACTAAAATGAGATTCCTTTCTCTTAAGTATAGGCATGCTGCAGTGTCAAAGTACCATACACACAGTCCCACACAGATCTCTGCAGAGAGCCTCTGTGTCCAAGGCTGGAGGCGGCCACTCTCCATCACAGGCTGAAGTGCTCAATGCCAGGAGTGGAACCTGGGCACCCCACATCGTCTCTCACCTCCCATCCACACCAAGCTGTGARGGGGGTATTAGAGAGTCCTCACGGCCACCGGGTAGAGGAGTGACAAGTGTTCTGCTCCTCTGATGGGCAGCTTCCTTGTAGTGTAGTAGTGGATGACTTCCGGAACAGTGCCAAAAGGAGGACTGTTCTGACCCAGGATGTATTTTTCTTTGGTTTTCATCAGCTTCATGTGCATGAAACCTTGACTGCTCCTGCAAGAAAAGCAAAGAGTTAGTTCATGCCTCTGAGCGGGGAGTGGGGCAGCACAACAGCCTCTAGTACATGGTTCAGGGAAAGACAAGAATTGCTTCTGGGTAAAGGGTTGGGATTGCTCAACGGGTCAGCACCAGTCAGTTTGGTACCCACATGGGCAGCCTGAAACAAATGGAACCTAAACTAGGATTTTGTTTTCACCACCTATACTGGTAATTCTGCCTTTTCCCAACGGACTCAGATGCAAAGCTGCCTCATTCTGCAGCTGCTCAATCCCTATCAGAGGACAACTGTTCTCCTCTGCAAATTTTGCAGTGATTCTCTCCGTTTTGCTACATCAAGTCATCACCTCAAGACCAAAGGCAGTTGTTACATTTGGCCTGTCAGCAGCCAGGGTCCCTTTTCATGAAGACAAACATTGATATTAAGGCTTATTGATGTCAAGTAATCCTCTTCATTGTTGCTGAGGAGTCCTCAGAGTAGTAACTGCCTAGAAAATAGACCATGCCTAGAGACGTCAGGCAACATCATTTGGGAAAAGGTCCCTGCAACTCAAATGAAGCTACTTCCATGGGCAGTAACACACTTTCCAACAGCACAAGAACATTCCTCTTCTGCACATGCAGAGCAAAGGACAGCAGCCTCTCCAATCAGCTTGTGACATGAACTCCACACCAGAAACAATTTCTGGGCCAGCTGTCTTCCTACAACGGAAGGCTCATGCAAACAAAAGGAAGAAGGGGCAGCACAGRTAACATCTTGTCTGCTCCTGTCTTTTGGAAAGCAACCAGCCAGCGTAAGCCACTGTGCTGATTACCAACCACAACTCCTGGAACACGAGACCAGGTGGTAGAGCTGACCCCACCTCCTTCTAACAGCGGCTTTGATCTCTGTGCTCTTTGGTCTGGAAGGTTTCCATGCTGTATAGCTTAGCCAGCAGGAACAAAGGACAACTCCACACTTAAAGTGTTAAAGGAAGGCTAGAGAATTTTCACAACTTGCTCACTGTCCCCATCCCTAAYATTCTGGCTCCAAACCATCATCTCTCCCAACAATTTCCATATACAAGGACAAACGTCCTACAAATGGGAGAGGGTTTTGAGGATGGAGACCCAGTTTAAGAGGACACAGCAAGACGCAACAGGAAAGCATAAATCTTGCTGTGTTGAAAGTTTTTTTTTTTTTTTTTAATCTGTCATTTTCTGTGTATTGGGAGAATAATACACAGAAAATGCACCTCTGCAGTATTGGGAGAACAAAAAAAAAATCATAATTTTCAGCCATATTGAGCTATGATGAAGCGACCTTTTCTGTTGAGCAAAATTCACTGCAGACCATATAACGACACTTCTCCAAGCTTAGAATCTTGGTTTACCTTTTTAAACAAGAGAAATTATTTTTCAAAGCATAACTGCTCTATAGATGATCTGTTTTAAGCCAGGGTAATATCTCTAAAAACTTTATCATGAAACAACATATAGTACGTCTTTCCTTCAGTTTATTAAGTATCCATTTTGCTAAGTAGTACTTTATGACTCTGCCATTAAGTTAGTGGAATCACAGATGGCTTCTTATTTATGGAGTCTTGCATGAACTGGAGAACAGTCTGCTAAAGTTCTCAGAAATAAGCAGTAAGGGCAGATATACTGGAATCTTTTAAATCAACAAGGAAGCACATAGACATATAGCAAGCAAAGTGCTACGCTATGCATCATTGTCAGACAGTTGTTCCTTCCTTAACATTGAACAGTTGAACAGATTAAGCAGATTGAACAGATTGAACAGATACACTGCATATGGTCATTGAATGTTCAGCAGCTGATATCTTTGGCCACATGACCAAAGTAAAAGAAGGTGCAGATTGCTGCTCACCTACTGCTATTTGGAGCAGCCCCTTTTGAACAAGTCAGAAGAAATCACAACTTGCAACCATTTATAAGAAATCTTGCACTGTCTGGACAGCCGACATACAAGTATCTACAAATACAGGTCTTTCCCAGGATGAGAGAAACACTGAGAAGCCCTCTATTCTAAACTAGGTGGAGGAAAAACAGCCATTGAGTCCTGGAAACAAGGAGCACTTCCCTGCGTACCTACATCTTTTACCGTGTTAAAGCTTTCCTTCCTCCACTCTTCCTGCCCTTAATGACATCTACAAATTTCCAGTTCAAACTTGGAAAGGCAAAATCTGACTGGATGGAGAAATGCACCAGCAGAAATGAAAACACTTGGGCATAACGAGACAGCCAGACAAATATAGTGGCCAAATACAGCAGACATATCAACAAGCCAAGCTCATGGACAGCTGACAGCCAGTTACTTTAGGGTGAGCATCTCTTTGCTGACTCAGCTCCTCTTGAAGCAGTGTTCAGGTTCTGAGAGGAGAGGTGTTAGAGCAGTTGTGAGAGACAGAATCTTTCTGTTACCATTTTTTCCTCCACTACAAAGTAATTGCTCTATAAATGCATTGTTTTGAGGTGCTGTGGTGCACAATGATGCTGCTGAAGGCGGCTCCAGCTGTCTATTTCCCATCAAAAGAAGAGTCCCTAGGTTGTTTTCTCTTGTTCTGATAAAACATGCTTGAKAAGCAAGCTGCAAATCACAGAGATCTCCCAAGCAGGTAACCCATCTCATTAAAGTACGCAAGCTTTAAACTGCACTTAACACAATTAACACAATGGCTAGATATAACCTATTATCAGAACAAAGATGATTATGAAATACTGCCAGTGAGTCAGACCCCAATACCAGAATTATCCATTATTAAAACACCAGATACTTAATAACAGATAATATGATTTAGCAGCTGCTGTAGCATATTGCCTATAGCTAGAATAGAGTTCCTACATCCCTTACTTGTCCCGATAACTGGTTAATTAATTTTCCATGAAGAATGCAGGACAACAGTTATGCTAAATAAACTCCTTTCAGTGTAAAATAACTTAAAACCATTAACTGAAGAAAAAAAAAGTCATTAGCATTAGAGGAGCCAACCACCCTCATTTCTCAAAAACAATATTCCTTTTAATGTAACACACAGACATTTTGTATTTAGTGGGGCAGAGATTCATTAATGTTTTCTGGGATTTCTACACTAGGCAATAAGACAATAAGATCTCTCTCCTATTTCTTCTTTTCAAGCACATTGCATTACAGATTTTGAGAGGCAAATTCCTGCAATTGGTGAAATCAGTATCAAAACAAACTGAATTTCTGTGTAGAAGGACTGAGCTAGAAGGTACCTCTCCCTACATTAATTTTACTGTTATTTTATCACTACTGTACTCTGCGCCAGTTGGCTCATTCAGCCATCGAAAGCTTACTGCCKGAGATGATAGTGTACTTGCAGATTTTATAGAACTGCTTTGTTAAAACCAACCACTAACAAGGAGCTTTGTGGAGCTTCTTAGATGATTCAAATGCCACCTGATCCTGTGCAGGATTAATGGTCATCTTCATCCTCAGCTATCTCTCTTGGCTTTTTGTTGTTGTTGTTAAGATTCTTAACAGCTCTCATTCAAGCACTACTCTTCTCTTCAAAAACTATGTTAGAAAACTTGTTAGGAAATGAATGGCCAGATAACTTAATATTTTGATCCCKGAATTTTGGCATTTCCCATCTGCCCTGATTCTTGTATTTCTCCTCTTTTGGGGCTCTCCTCCTAGAAAAGCATCAGATGAAACACAGKCTGAATGGGAAGTGTTTTTCAGAACTGGCTTCTGTGAGGGCTGAGAAGAAGCAGGGTGACAACTGGAGCTGTGTAAAACTGACTAGAAAACTTTGTCACGTCAAGCATGCAAACTTCTTGTTCATAAACGGAGAAAGACTGACAGGCGGAACAATGCAACTGGATTTATCTTCTCTGTTGCTGGTGTTTGTAGCCAAGAACAATGTATTGCTAACTATTCACTGCAAAACACCAACAAAATAGTTATCAACATATTGTTTGTCATGGGCATRAATCAATTTTCTTTCCCAGTTACTTCCTCCACATGTCCAGAACTCTTTAAGCTGATCCTTATTGCAGGCCGGTGAATAAAAGCAATGATGTCTTCAAAACTTTTCCTCACTCATAGAATCTCTGAGAAGGAAAAGACCTCTAGAGATCATCTAGTCCAACTCCCTTGATCAAGAATGACCACCATTAGTATTCCTGCTTTGGCAAAATGGATTTTTCAGTCTCTTTCACTAACTAAGTATTATTGATCTTGTTAGACCCAAGATTTCCAAATAACAGGTCATAAAGCAACCCCCAAATTGACCTATATAAGTCTCGATGGATGCATGTACCTGAAGAGAGCAGATACAATAATTTTGTAAGAGAAGATACTTCTCTTACAACATATTTAAGTTAGATGCTTATTGTTAGTATGAGGCTTCTGAAAAGTGCTATGATGTCTCAAGGTTTTCCAAAGCTTTTGCTTATCTGGTGGAAAATAGTGCATTTGACACATGCACTCCTTCTTCTTCTCATTTTAACCATTCTGGTGATTTTCAAATGAAGAATAGGAGAATTCTTGGCTACAGTAAATTGTTTCTGAACTTCCAAGAACAGTGTGTACTTGATATACACTTGATATACACTCAAGTAACAGTCAGCCCTTGATTAAAATCTTCTGCAACACAACTCTAAAATCAAACTTTGAATGACAGTTTCCCCATATTTTCTCTTCARTTCTCTAAATCCAAAGAAAAAGATGTCTCATCAGACTGTTTTGCTTGACTGTATGCTTGCAGCACAAAACAAGCACATTCAAGAAATATATTTAACTGACTATATTTTTTTCAAGAAAGAAGTTATTGGCTTTGAAATGTCACTCATATTCATAAATAAAGAAAATCCTCCCAATGCTACATTAGCTTAAAATAGGCTTTGTCAGAACATGTTTCCTGCATTAAGACTTCAATTTTAATGAAATATCATTTGAGCAAGGACATAAGGCAATAATATTGCAATGTTTTTAAAAAAAACTCCTATTTTGGAACTACATGCTGTTT